GCTGAACAAAACCCCCAAATGCCGCCAACCTCTTTGTAAGAACTCAAGTGAGGGAGGCCGCTGCACTCAAAAGACCCATTGTGGCCATGGTGACACACAAGGTACAGGAGATGGGGGTTCCTCGGCTCGTGTGTTCTCCGCAGCTCATTCACCCCAAGTGCGACGGCCACAGCCAGGCGTCGAAGCTGAGCCAGCAGCCGGCGGCAGCCGCGTTCACAGGAGGATCTATCAACAAGGACAACGTTTCCAGCTCAGCGACGAAGCCTCTGTGCGCTCAGGAGGCTCCGAGCCCTTGATGATTTGAACAGGGGTTATGCTGTAGCAGTGGAAAGACCGCAGGTGGGAGAAGACTCGGAGAAGTCACTGGTCCTGTTACGGGAGACCGAGTTGTGGCAGTGGGGACTGCCTCGGACCCGGCACCGTGCTCCGCGGGGCCAGCTTCTGGCCCTCGACCCCGGGGGACGGGAGCGGACCCCGAGCGCCGCTTCCCTGCGCAGGGGTGCAGGGCCCCCCGCTCCTCTGCGTGCTCGCTCCCGCGTCAGCGCTCCTCGCCTTTCCCCTTAGAGAGAGATGGCAGCTTTTTTTTTCCCTCTAAGGCTCTGCACTCTGCTCACCCTAAATCAGCACGACTGCGGGCCCTGCAGTCATTAAAGACGTATGCAAGCCCTACTCCTTTTTTAAGAAAATCAGATTAAAAAAAACTCCAGGCCAGCTGTAAGTCAAATTTTAAAGTAGCCTCTCGCGTTGTGCCGGCTCATGGGTGTTGGTGCGTTTCCCCACGGTGTCCTTCTGCCATCCATAGCCCTGGGTTTCACTTTCGTTTCACTCGGGCTCTCGAGTTTCAGTTCTGTTTCCACATTGTCCTCTTTCCTCTCGCTGCCACCTCCCCCAGCTGCTGAAACACCCCTAAGTCTGCTTGGAACACCTTTGTCTTCGTTTTGCTTTCTCATGCTATTCCTTTTCCTTTTTTTTTTTTTCTCGCTTTCCCGACTTCACATCTTTCAAATCTGTTTTTCTCAAGTATCACATTTTAAGCCGGTGAGAAAGGGGAAATTCAGAAGGGCTGAGTTAATGAAGTTCTTAAGCTGCTTTGTGAAACTAAGTGTCAGCTTGGGAACTATCACAAATAGGGATGGGCTCAAGTATTTTCTGGACTTTCAACCATTACCCTCACGCCTGCGCAATGCATCTCACCTCTGTGGATTTACGAATGGATCAGCGGAGCCCCGCTTCCCGCCATCCCTGTCCTCCCCTTCCCCAAAAATGACATGCCTTTTTCACTCTCTGTGGTGTCATCTGTTTGGAACTATGTCACGTTGTATTTGAACCACGCATTGTTAAAGCATGAAATGTTATTTCTGGCGTTCATGTCATTGTAATTCTGATCCTGCAAAATTCTATTCAGACTAAACAGGCGTTCAAATTATTAAGCAGAAACCTCAAGCCTTGTTTCTCTGCTTCCACGGCTGCAGCTTGGCGCATCCCCCGAGACAGTCACGGTAATTTTTCTTTGAAAAAAACCCATAACGACAAGAATTAGTGTAATTCTACAATTAGTGCTTCATAATGACAATGTAAGAAAATACTATCCTGGGGTATTACGATAGCCGCTTTGACTAATAACTGTAGGGATCTGGAACAATTCACGGGTCCAGCCAGGCCCTAACCAGCGAACAGCGTAAAATAAAGGAGGATAAAATGGGTTTACAAGAGTTCCTGTGCCTATTCTTCACCTTCCCGGTCCTGGGACCAGCAAAGAACTGCCGGCAGTCCGGGATGAAAGGGCAGGACTTGAACCCATCCCTACTCCCTGCCACACCGCTGAGGCCACGTGTCCTGGAAGAGGCCGCAAGGACCATGACAGCGCTGCTGCGACGCTAACGAGCGAGGGGAGCTGCGGCGAGTTAGGCTCGTGTCCCTTTGTGTTACCAGGAGAGGACCGAACAGCAATCAGGAACGTATAAACCCAACATATGGTACCTCCTAGCTGGTCCTTTGATTTTTTAAAATGAAGTAGATATGCTTGCTGCATATATACAAAAACACAGGATGCGGTTTAGTCTGCGGCCACGATTCAAGACTGCTCTGTGGCAGATCTAAGCGATGCGTACAAGACTATAATAATCAGCATGACATTTAGGGGGTTGTTCAATGAGCAGGCTCTGCCACGGTGGCACGATCGGCTTCTGGACAGATAAGGGGGAGTCAGCACTGGGAACGCGTGCTTCGTTGCCTAAGCAGCTCAGGGATGCTGCTTGGCATAATTGTAATTAAAGCACAATTTATTGTTCACTGTGTTGTTCTGCAAGCCACGGGCTTGACTTTGTTTTCGAATTGCCTGTCTTTATGAGCGTGTGTGGGAATCCAAGCAAGGAGCCCCGCAACTCTCCAATTACTCACGAGCACTGCTTAATCTCCTAATTGTAGGCTCTTCGTGGGCTGCAACAGCTGGCAACAGCACAGGGGCAACACAAACGATTTCACTTCCCGCACCCGCCGCCGCCATACCTCTTTCCGCAACATTCCCTCTATTTACCTACTGTAAAACCACCCAGTGGAAAGCCACACGACACGGCCACAGTGGTGCCTTAAAAACGAGGCGCCTCACAGCGGCAACGGTCCCAACGGCATTAGAAACGCCAGAACCTGTGGCAGCTGCGTTTCCACCCGGCCTGCTCTGTCGGCGCCGTACGGCTCT